GAATTTGCGCAACAATGTAGGGATGGAAAGACCATCCCGTCAACGGTCTCAAAAAATTCCTATGTCTTAGCTACTTGAGTCCCTTGAAGCTTATTCGACAACACAACCCACTAGAGATAATCAATGAAGGAGCGCCAATACAAACCGAGCTCCCTCCATTGCCACGGCCTCCTGAAGCTCAAACAGATGTTGCGGGGTCTTGGCCTCGGACATGCAGTCAAACTGTTGACACACCAAAAGTCTCTTGTATTGATCACCCCACAGAGAGTGGCCAGCCTGCTCGAACACTACAGACATCTGCCCAATGAGAGGAACAATGATGCCAAGTTTAGATCGCTTAGGCTGACCAACCACAGAAGGAAACACAGCTGGATGTGCACAAAGGAGTATAAGTGGCAGGCCAGAATAAGGAAACCAAGTAGATTGGGAATCACAATATTAGACACCTCTCGAGACCGCTTCAAGGCATTCTTGGTGTGAGCGAAGGACTTGGAGGTCACGAGCAATGTGGTGACCACTCTCTAGGGAGGTCGCCTCTTGGACTTTGAGGTCTTCCAACGACGCTTGAATGACCGCCAACTGACCTCGGGCATCATCGACCTGCAGCCGGAGGCCATCCCCAGTTGCTTTCCCTTCCCGCAGTTGGGCACGGAGTTCCTTAGTCATTCCTTTGTTCTTCTCCAATGTCCCACCTTCCACATGGAGCTGCTCCTCGCAGGACCGCACGTCCACAAGCTTCACAGCAGCAGCGTCATGGGTGCGGCTTGTCTCCTTCTAGGAAGCACCGAGAAGATCCTTCATCCCCAGCAAGCGATCTACCGCTGTCAACAAGAAAGCAGGTTAAACACAGATAACACTCATAGTCCAACCAGCCCAAAAGGAGAATACAACAGGACTTGCGAATGATGTCTGCTAAGGACCTTTCAAGTTGGGAAACACGGCTCTGCTTCGTCCCCACAACTTGGTAAAGTTCGCTAACCCGCATAGCAAGATCTGATCTTTGGGAAAGCAAATCTTAAAGACATAGCAATAAAAATCCAGCGTCAAGCACATTACGACAAAATTGACTTAAGACTCAGGGGCTACTACATGGGATGCATTGCGCTAACATTAGTTCCAGCAACCGTCGATTGTCTGACCACCCCCAGGGCGTCCTTCCGGGCCTGGGCCATATTGCCGGTCCTAACAAGAGAGGCCCACAGACGACCCAGCGCAGGAGGAGCTATGAGTCAGCCATCAAGCAACAGTGAGGAGGCCAGAGGGGCGTAGCACCACTCACCACGTCAGCCTCCGGGGCAGGTCCTGTGTTTTGAATTTCGGCCGAAAAAAAGGATTTCGGCCGAATTTTGGCCATCTCGGCCTAGGGAGAAATCTATCTTCCGCCGAAATTGGTCAAATTTGAGAAATTTTGGTCAAAATTTGGTCAAATTTCGGCCATCTCGGCCTAGGGCGAGAAAAATCACAAACAGAAAATCAAAACGCTGGGTAGGTCTGCGTGGCAATGCCGTGACCTCCGCTGAGGCCCCGGCTCCTGTCAAGGGGTCGACCGTAGAAGAGATCGGTCTAGCCGGGCTCCAGAGCTCACATCTTCACGGGGCCACTTCCCTATAGGAAGTGCGATCGCCGAAGACAGAGGCGGGCACTGCAAGTTTTGTTTAGGACGTGTGTCGAGCTAAGAAAAACAGAAAGATGGGAATCTCACAAAAAAGAACCCACAAAGGGCTGCAGATGACAAATAACTGAGCAGCCCATTCTTAGCCTTGACCTTCAAAATCCGGCGAGGAATCCCCGGGTAACCGCGGCCCACGTCTGGGCTGGCTCCTTTAGAGGGCTGGAATGCGAGCGGCCTCAGCTCTCGGGGACTCCTGAGCAACAAGCGAGGGCTCCGGTGGGCGACACCCGCTTGTACACACGACTGACGTGCCAAGTCGTCCCATGGATGGGTTTGGGGGGGCCTCCATCAGCATTTTGATGACCTTTCCCACAGCAGGGATGGCTGGTGGTGTATTTATATGACACTAGTAAGAGCACACGTGCAACGCACGTCTCCACCAATACTCATAATTTCTTTGTGAGTGACCATAAAAATATCAATGCACAACAATATACATTTTTAAAGCACATCACCAGTAAAGAGACATAAATGATGTACATGTTCGCAAACATAACATAGGATGAACATGGGTCTAATTAGTAATCATGCACACAAGGCATTTCTCAGCTGATGTAGACATTCAATCAAACACAAGATACCTTACAAATTTATTTTCAAATTTTGTGGTAAAAGAACCAAGAGCTCCACTGAAGTGTTGCAATACAACCGGAGAAAAGTCAGATATATCTTTTGTGTAATATATGCTTAAGAAATTCTCGCACAAAATATGATGTTTTCTTTAAGATTGGTCTCTTTAAAATTTGCTAAGTATATCAAATACTGGCATAAATGGAATACAGATGATCGCATCGTCTCCAAAGAAAAGGAGGGGTGTGTCTCAATCTATTCTGAAAACATAGTCATGGATAATGTATAGACAAAACATGTGCCCGTCCGGTGAGCACATCATTCATCGTATTCAACTCCATACTCTTACAACAAATCTAGAAGGATGGAAACGATATACCAACTCACACACAAAATAAGCTTAGCGTTTACTTCATCTGCCTGTTCTTGGTTTGTCGTGTGTCTCTTTGTCTTGATTGTCGAGAGCTCCACGGCCATCTCCTTATCAGCAACTGGCTGCACCGAGACTTCTTGTTTGCCAGGCCAGGGTGCTGTAGGAATGGACATTGTACGGGCAATTGATCTTGTTGCTGAACTGAACCATGGGGTGATATCAACATGTGTACCAATACCTAGTAATCATGCACGTCTCTCTACAAACATAAAAAAACTAATAACACTTGAAGAGTACAAAAAATAAAAAACACATTATTCATAGTGCAGTTCATCCAAAAATATTCTTGAATAGATGTTTCCGGAAATTTCTTCAAGAAAATTGAAAATAAATTATGAAATGGTGTATCAAGTAAAATGAATAAAATATAGTGAATTACCTATATGTAGGAATGATTCAAGAAGTTCATTCCACCTACCAGCAATAAATTGTATCAGGACAGTGATATAATTTCTCTTTGGTTTGTGTATATTTCTTTTTGAACAGTACAAAAATTTGAACCATAATTTTATAGGAGAGAACACAAGTTACAAGAGCACCCCAAAGGGGGCGACATCCACGCTCCACCACCAACACATATTACACTGGACTACTCTGATAATCCAGCCATCCTCTTCCCTCCCGCAATAGGTCAGAAAGAAGGAGAACACAGAGGTGAGCATTATTGAATGCCCTAGCACTGCGTTGCTTCCAAAGGCTCTAGCACACATGCATCACAAGATAATCAAAACCACACCATTACTTTGGGAATGAACTGGCGAGACCACCCCACCAATCCTGAAGATTAGCAGTGACGGAAGGAGCAGGGACAACATCAAGAATCAAGATGAGTCGATCGAAGATAGCGATGCCATACCTGTCGAGCATATACGCACTGCAGCATGATGCGATCGACAATGTCCTCATCCTACTCAGAGAAAAAAGGCAAAATATGGTCCTGCAGCCCTCTTCTGACCTGACGATCAGATGTCCATACTCGATGACGCGAAGCCAAGCAAATGAAAATCTTGTAGTTCCATGGCACCCATCTATTCCAAAGTGCCTTAGCACCAGGAAAGCAAACAGCTCCTTCGGACAGAAGAATGTACTGGTTCGTGTATATAACACTTCACAAATTCTGCACCCTGACCTTCCAGCACAGCTGACGCAAACTTGATGAATTCAGAACTCAACAATGAATTCTTTCGGTATCTTTAGCACAACAAATTCAACACATATTTTGGCCGGTCTTTGTCTGCTCACCGAGAAATTCCACATGAATACCCTCATCCTAAAAAACACTGTGTCTAATGCAGGCACAACCTGAATGCTTACTGGTTGGAGCACTTCAATCATTCACATCATTCTTCAGCCACACGATCACCTGTTCACAACCCAGGTATATCAAATGAGGCCACCCTTACTCATATAATCAAGCTATGCATCTCTACATTTGGGCTGTAAAATTCCAGGACGAAACTGAACACAAAGTGCTCTTGTATGTGATTAAATTTGAAATGGATTTTTTTATGATGTAGGATGCTTAGAAACTAAAGACGACCTCGAGGCAAACACCGCATATTAAATTAACCTGTAAATTTTTTCCAAGAATTTCTTGCATATGACCTATATATATATACATTCAAGGACTTATACTCCCTCGGATCCAAAATAAGTGTCGAAACTTTAAATAAGGTTGAACTACCCTCAATTCAAAGTTGTGACATTTTTTTGATTGGACGGAGTACTTTATTGTACATATAGTTCAAATGTGATTCATGTCCATTAAATATCTGCCTCGCTGGTGGACCGCAAGCCTTGTGACCCATGAAATGTTGTCCGGCAGCACCTTCCGGTGGCCCTCCCCATCATATCTCCTTTTCTCCTCTGTCTGCAGAATGGTCAGTTTAGTGTTGCGGCGATGCTATGAGATTCTGATGGTCGTGGCGGAGGCCAGCAAGGAACACCTCTCAGTACACCAGCCAACAACAAGATTTTAGCCGGAGGAAATAGCATTTCACAAGACGGTATTAAAAACAGCGAGCAACATACAATAAAAACCAAGACAAAAAGTAGCCAACCAAGTATAGAGTTTACACACAGCCGTAGACCAGTCATGACACACAAATATATGGAGTTGACAGACAAAGACACTGACACACAAGAGAAAAATTCCAGTTGCAGGGTGCTTGCGAGCCCGGAGTGCCGAAGCAAGAATTTTCATGTGATTCCACGCGCCCAGTCCAAATCCAGCAACCGTTGAACTGCCTACATATTCAAGGATACATACACCCTATCATTCCAGATCACATGGGGCTATGCTTTTTTGGCTTCGATTACTGCTACTTAATTAGGACCCAAGGTTGCAATCTGCTTCTCCAACTACATCAAAACAAGAGTAGATTAATGATTATGACAGGTCTACAAAGTACAGTGGTGCTTAATTTATGTCGGTATATTTTTCCAGTACTTGGCAAAGGTTAAGTTAAGGTGGGAAACACAACTGGTTTTTTGGAGTTAGCCTAAGCATCTAACGAACCATCGTGACAATATTAAGACAGAAACATTCAACGCCAAATGGGACTTTCAAAGACCTCGTACTAAGTGCTCCAGAAACCAAACAATTTCAATAGTAACAAGAATAAGATCAAAGTTATTACTTTTTTTTTATCTTAAACAATGTATGACCGGTCTACATATTGTTGATACTTTTGATAAGTTGGAAGTCAAAAGCCAACACAGGCACATAAGATGCTACCTGCATAATGGTCTGTAGCCTGTCGCGCACATCGTAGAACTCATTCCTAAGAACATTCAATGCCATGAGGCACCTGAAATAATGCAAACACACCACACTGTCACATTCTGAAGTAGTTAAGCAAACTGAACCGGAATGCTTCGAAAATTGTAACCGAATGTTTGAGAAAGAACTCTAGCCATCTCAAAACTTAATTGCGGTATAAACAAATGTCTAGAATTAACAAGTTGCAAGAGAATTATCATACAGATACAGAAGTGAGTTATATCAATCAGCTGATTGGAGATGAAGTGAATAAGCAGGTTAGTGCTTATGAATATTAGATTAATATGAGCCAAAAATAGTGTCATTAAAGACAAAATAAGTTGGTAGGTTTCACATAGGGGATTTGATAAGCACAGAGAGTAGAGAGTAATTACTGTGGTACATATATAATAAGGTAACAAGAACTGACCTTTCTTTGCTTTTTCCCTCATAGAACTGCTGGAAGTGCACGCATGCAAGGTTAACTTTCCTAGCACCAACGCTGATACATGCCAAAAAGAGCACGATCAAGAAACTAGAAATTTCCCAAACTTAACAAACACTATGGAATGTTGAACATAAGCATAATTGCGGTGTCATAATAATATTACAGAGGAGCTATTTGTGAAGTGTTTGATCACCCAAAACAGAAAATAGTGTTGGTCTTATGTGCTATAGCAGTTAGTAGTGCTAGAGATATTTATAAAACGTTAAAGTTTCCCTAACCAAACGGCATTAATATACATCGGCATTTCCACTGCACGAAACATAACTAAACTCGTCTTTTTGAATTATGGCTGAATGACAACACCAACTGCACGAGGCGTACGCCCACAACGTATACACACCCACGCCGACACATCCAAATAGAGACAACATCAATGTATGTAGCGGAGAAATTGGAAAATAGCCATTTGCGTTACATAGAGGAGATCATTAATACTATAAATATTTTCATAACGGCAACTTTTATTGGTGACCTAAAATAATGCCATTGTCGAATATCACATTCAATAGTACGAGAAATTTCCACAAGACGGCAAAGTTTTCCTAGACGAGTTTTAGCGTTGCCATTGGCAGGAATGCTGACAATTCCGTTATATGAAATACGAAACACAACTAAACTTAGCTCTTCTATTTATTTGTATATGACAACCGCAAACGACACATCACTAACACATCCGAATAGAAACATGGACAAACGAGAATACCCACCATCGCCGTAATGCTGAATAGCATATCACTAGCTCAACTAAAGTTGGCTCTTCTAATTATGGCTAAACGACAAAACAAATGGCACGAGACGCATGCCCACGATGTATCCACCAACCCCGACACATCTAAATAGAGATAACATCAATGTAGCGGAGAAACTGGAAAAACAGCCATTGGCGTTATGTAGAACAAGAGATCATTAATACTAGAAATATTTCAAGAATGGCAACTTTTATTGCTGGCCTAGAATACTGCCAATGCTGAAATTCACATTCAATAGTACTCGAATTTTTGCAAGACGACAAAGTTTTCCTTGACGCGTTTTAGTGTTGCCATTGGAAGGAATCAATGCAGACAATTCTATTATATGAAAGACTACTAAACTCAGCTTTTCTACTTATGTATGTACGACAACTGCAAACGACACTGCGCCGACACATCCGAATAGAAACATGGACAGACCGCGAAATCGCCATTGGTGTTATGCTGAATAGCATACCGCTAATTCCAGGAAGGCTCGCAAGACAACAAAGTTCTAATTTCTGATCGAGCCATAATAACATTGCGGTTGGATGAATGCCGGTGCTTCCGTGAGGCACACGAAATACAACTAAGCTCGGCACTTGTACTCAGGGTTACAGAATAGCGCAAACAACACCAACGGGGGGTATGCCCACCATTTCAATGGCACGATCAACATCGATGCAGTGTGGGAAACAGATAATCACCTGCCGCTGTACTCCTTGAGCTGGTGCACTAGTTCGCCCACCATTTCGAAGTTGACGACGGGCAGGTTCCTGGGAGGGAATCACAAATTAAGCAGAGGATACGAAATCAATACCCAGGACGATGGGGCTAAGGAAAGCGGAGGGCTTGGTGCAGTGGTACGGCACGGACAGAAGGCTGGTGATGTCATTGAGCATCATGTCGGCCTCGTGGAGGAAAATGTTGATGACCTCGGGGACGAAGCCCTCGTCCTGCGGCGGCTGAAGCTCTTGGTAGTACTCGTCTAGAATTCCCTGGATTCATCCATCAATACGGCGATCCGGGGGACAGAGCGAACACGGACGAATTCTGGCCCAAAATTGAGTTGAGGGGAAGGACGACTCACCATGGCGTACATGTAGCTGACGCGCGTGTTAAGCTGGCTCCTTAGCTCGGCGGCCGACATGGCAAAGGGAGGACAGAGCGAACACAGAGATGGAATTCGATGCCGCTGGCGGAGTGGACGAGGATAGAGGAGTGCAGGCAGGTCACGGAGGCTCTCTCACACGGAGCCTTTTGGCAGGGAGTGCTCGTTAAACTCTACTGGGCTGGCCGCCATCAATGAAGAGCTTGAAGAGGAATGCAGGCAGGTCACGGTGGCTCTCTCAAGGAGTCTTTTGGCAGTGAGTGCTCTATTGGCTGGCCGTCATCAATGAAGAGCTTCAAGTTGAATATGGCGTATGTGCGAGCATGCATGCAACTAGTACATTTTGGTGAATTGATGGATGGATGCCGGACCAGCCAAGAAGGCAAGAAGATGTCTTTGGCCACTCGTTCTGCCCTTAGCCAAGGCCCCACAGGTCACTGACGGAAGGAAGGCATGAAAGGGTCACTTTTCCAATTGCATAGCCCATCACTAAATAGTGCACATATGTTTATTGCTAATGAATATTTTTGGCATATTATATTGTTGAAACAGAAACTCTTGCCCTAGCTCACCGCACCTCCCTCTCTGGTCACCTGACTCTCTCCTGGCTCGTACCGAAGAAGAACAAAGGAAGAAGGAGGGCACACGGTGGAATTTTTTCCGGCCTGAACGCCCGCCGCCCGAACGGCTTTTCTCCTCAAGCAACAAATTTGAGCCACACCTATAACACACGTGAGGGGTGAGGGTTTATACGTGCGCGCATCAACGCTCCATGACGCGCACCAGACACCACCCCACTCACCCTCTCGCCACGCCCCGTGCTCCGCGGTTCACGCGCCTGCTGTGCACACACGCACACGGATGCGACCGGGTCCAGCACCCAGCG